ACGGTTTTAAGGTCCCAAGACATATTTGGAAAAAGAGACAAACATATCAAACCCTTTATTCCCCTTCCAAAAGGAACTAATGAGAAATTCATTGTGAGTCGGTGGGTCACACCTCATGGTAGGTTCAATGGGATTCCTGAATGATGCCATTTGGCAAAAAAAAACCCAGTCTTTACTGGTCAGAGCTGTCAATTTAAATGGAAAATGAAAAGAACTCCATTTAGTTATAAACTTTTATACTAAAAACACAAAGGCACTGAGTTTCCCACCACTGCCATCAATTTCACTGATTAACCAGAGTCCCTGTTGGGCGGCCACATAGAGAATCTGGGGTCTCCAGGAATGCTTAGCCCCTCGAGGTACTGCTTCCAGCCCTACTGCCCGGTCGTGTCTAGTTGCTGCAGCCCCACAGGGAGCCCTGAGCACCCTCAGCCTAGACACAGAGCATCACTCCCTGTTCTGCCCCTTCCCAGGGAGAACCAACACAAAGACCTCCTGCTCCCAAGGCCTTTCATCACGTGGCCCGAATTCCATTACTCCCCTTGGTTTGTTTCCACTAAATTCAGTCAATTAGAATTTTTTTTCCCCTCTAAGCAATAAATTCTTTTTGAAATGGCAAGCATATCTTGAATGATTCGTTTAACATAATTGTTTTTCTACTGATACCTAGCTGAGACATCAGAGTGCAATTTTCACTTTAATAAACATGTACTGAGTATCTGTTAATGTGGCAGGTGTACAAAGCGGGCCAAATAAGGATCATAAATAGCTTCCTGGCAGCCCAAGTCGGCTTCTGTCGCCAAATGAGCTTCTCCAATCTGGGGGCAGGGCGGGGGAGGGGAGAAACGTGGGGAGAAAGACCCTGAACAAGCAATGACAGAAGTGATAAATGCCATGAAAGAGGAACTAAGGATGCTGGGCCAGCATACAGCGGGGAGTTTACCTAGTCTGGGGTTGAGGAAGAGTCACCCAGGAGACTTGGAGGACGGGTTAATGTTAACCAAGTGAAGGTGGGAGGAGGGTTGCCCAGTCTCCAGCCCATCTGTGGATGCCCATCCTCATAAGAGTGAGGTGTCAAGTGAGGGGACTGATAAGTTTTCAGCAAGGGAATAGCCTCAGCTGACCTGAATTTTCAACAGTCCCTCTCTGGCTTGCCTTGAGAGAATGAAATGTACGGAGGGAGGGAACCATGCGGTATCAGTGGAAATGGAGGGACGTGCAGAGATTGAGACACAGATTTTTTAAAGAGACAAAATCCATAGGACCTAGTGATTTATTCATAGGAAGTGAAGAAGAGAAGCCTCCTGGGTCTGGGGTTTGAACAATGAGACGAGGTGGAGTCCTGTACTGAGGAGCAGGTTTAGGGGGTGAGATGATGCATCCAGTTCCAGATATGCTGCTTTTGAGGTGCCTGGGAGACATCTGGGGGGTGACAGCTATTCAGCACTTGGATGCGGGGGAGAGATACCAGCATGGAGTCACCAGCATCAGGACAGTAATCACCTAGCGAGTGTGTGAAGAATGAAAAATGTTGAGGTTCTAGTATAGGATGCAGAAGTCCAAGCCTTAAGGGATGCGATGGGGTCATGGAACCAGCTGGCAAAGGAGACCTGGAAGGAACAGCCAGGGAGGTAGGGGGTAAACAAGGCAAGTGTAATGTCACAGAATCAAGGTCAACGAAGATACGGACTGGAAAGCATCCCCAGAGTTTGGGACCTGGAAGTCATTCGCTGGCTGCTTTAGTGAGAGCATTTGCAGGGGAGGGGTACGGGTTTGGAGTGGGTTGAAAAGTGAATGGGGGTGAGGAAATAAACCCCAAAGTACAGGTGGGTTTTTCAAGAACCAGGGCTATAAAAGGAAGACGAGAGAAACAGGTTGTGCTCTGGGGGAGAACCAGGCGATGACGGGTGATTTTGTTTCGTGTTTAGATGAGACAATTAAGTACATTTCGAAGTTGATGGGAATGAACCAGTAAAGAAGGGACAGTTAGAGATGGAGGAGATAGGGGAATAATGATTAACAGAAGGTTCCTGATAGAGCAGAGGGGCTGGGACCCCCAGTGGAGGGGAGGGTTGACCTTGTACTGGAGGAATGACACTGCTTCCCTGGGGACAGCAAAGGAGGGGGAGATTGTGGGATGGCTGCCTGCAGGCTTACGGATATTTTGGTGGGAGGGTGAGGGAGCTCACACCTGATGGCTTCCCGCTGCTCTGTGTGGCAGGAGCAAGTCAGCTCAGAGAGTTAGGCAGGGGCGCGGGTGAGGTCCGAGGAGAGCAGAAGAGGGCCGCAAGAGCTGCTGTGCAGGGCAGGAGCAGTGAGTAGCACGGTGGGCAGCACCGTGGGCCCAGGGAAGGGCGGAGGCCCGGCCTGCCCGGGTGCAGTGGGCGGCTGGCAGATGGCTGGATCCACGCAGAGCCGGGGGGTGGCTGGGTGCAATCAGAAGGACGTCGGGGCAGAGGCGTTTAGGGTATTGGTCGGAGAGCGATTAAGGGGATGGGCCACGGAATCTAGGCTGGAGGGAGAGGTAAGTGCAAGCAGGGAAGTGGCCAGTGGGTGGGGAGAGAGTCAAAGGAAAGGGACTTCTAAGGAGGAGTGAGTGAATTTGGAGCAAGAAACACGTGGGGCACTGAAGCTGCTCAGAGGCTTGGGCCGTCAGGGAGCACAGGCTTAGCGGGGACGGAAATAAGAGCACGTGTAAACGATCAGGACAATCCCTGCCAGATTAACCTCGTGCCAGGACCGGGCTTGCACCCAGGAAAAGGGAAAGAAACGCAAAGAGGAGCCTGGGGCATGGATGGAATTGTAATAACCCCACTTCTTTGTGATTAGGGAGGGCGTTATGCAGAGAATTCAAAATTTAAAGAAGTTTTTAGGGGCTTCCCTGGTGGTGCAGTGGTTGGGAGTCCGCCTGCCGATGCAGGGGACACGGGTTCGTGCCCCGGTCCGGGAGGATCCCACATGCCGCGGAGCGGCTGGGCCCCTGAGCCATGGCCGCTGAGCCTGCGCGTCCGGAGCCTGTGCTCCGCAGCGGGAGAGGCCGCGGCAGTGGGAGGCCCGCGTACCTCAAAAAAAAAAGAAGTTTTTAGAAATCTTTCTTTGAACTCTCACTAAAGAGGCTTCGTTCTTAAAATGAAGGAGGTAAGAGGAAAGAGACATGCTTGAGGACGTTCTAGAGGAAGTGAAAAGCTACTAAGTACAATTTGGGATTTAGCTTTGAATTCTGATCATACCTGCCATGGACTTGCCATATGATGTAATAACAGAATTTTTAAATACATGTAAAAGAATGAAATTAGAACACTCTCTAACACCATACACAAAAATAAACTCAAAATGGATTAAAGACTTAAATGTAAGGCTGAATACTATAAAATTCTTAGAGGAAAGCATAGGTAGAACACTCTTTGACATAAATCGTAGCGATATCCTTTTGGATCCACCTCCTAGAGTAATGAAAATAAAAACAAAAATAAACAAAAGGGACCTAATTAAACTTAAAAGCTTTTGCACAGCAAAGGAAACCATATACAAAATGAATAAACAACCCACAGAATGGGAGAAAATATTTGCAAATGAAGCAGCCAACTCCAAACTGTACAAACAGCTCATACAGCTCAATATCAAAACACACAAACAAATCAATAAAAACTGGGCAGAAGATCTAAATAGAAATTTCCCAAAGAAGACATACAGATGGCCAAAAAGCACATGAAAAGATGCTCGACATCACTAGTTATTAGAGAACAGCAAATCAAAACTACAACAAGTTATCACCTCACACCAGTCAGAATGGCCATCATCAAAAAGTCTACAAACAATAAATGCTGAGAAGGTGTGGAGAAAAGGGAACCCTCTTGCACTGTTGGTGGGAATGTAAATTGGTACAACCACTATGGAGAACAGTATGGAAGCTTCTTAAAAAACTAAAAACAGAGCTACTATATGATCCAGCAATCCCATTCCTGGGCATATATCCAGAGAAAACCATAATTCGAAAAGATACATGCACCCCAATGTTCATGACAGCACTATTTACAGTAGCCAAGACATGGAAGCAACCTAAATGTCCATCGACAGAGGACTGGATGAAGAAGATGTGGTACATATATACAATGGAATATTACTCAGCCACAAAAAAGAATGAAATCATGCCATTTGCAGCAACGTGGACGGACCTAGAGATGATCACACTAAGTGAAGTGAGTCAGAAAGAGAAGGACAAATACCATATGATACCACTTATATGTGGAATCTAAAATATGACACAAAGGAACTTATTTACAAAACAGAAACAGATTCACAGACTTCGAAAACAAACTTACGGTTACCAAAGGAGAAAGGTCGGGGTGGGGGAAGGATAAATTAGGACTTTGGTATTAACATATACCTACTACTATATATAAAATAGATAATCAACAAGGACCTACTGTATAGCACAGGGAACTCTACTCAATATTCTGTAATAACCTATATGTGAAAAGAATCTGAAAAAAGAACATATATATATATATATATATATATATATGTCTAACGGAATCATTTTGCTGTATACCTGAAACTAACACAATATTGTAAACCAACTATACTCCAATATAAAATAAAAATTAAATTAACAAACATAAACAAATAAAATACAATGTAATAATAGCTGACGTTTATCACTGCTTCTTACCTGAGGCACTGTGCTAAGAACTGTACACCTTGATTTCACTCAATTCTTACAACTCTCTGAGGTAGATACTCTTATCATCCCCACTTTATTGATGGGGAAACTAAGACCTGGAGCAGTTAGTTAGGAGGGCGCTGGGTATGCTAACCAGTACTCTTCATTTTTCAGGTAAGGATGCTAATGCCATTTGGGACATTATGGGGAGTGAACCATAAAAATGATGGTACCGTGCATAGAAAATCAAGTTCACCTAAATTCAAAATAATAATTTTGATTGCATGAAGGCACCAATTTGATAAAAAAAAATGTGCTTTAAAATCTCAATACCAACCTATATTTCTCTGAATTAGCATGCACTCCTTCTCCTTTGCAGAAAACTGGCTTCTGCTTGAGACGCCAAAGTCAAAGCAGTATTTATTCCTCCCCATGTCAAACAAAGTGCAGTTGAATACTGTTCTCCTTTCTCCCAAGGTCAGACTGTTTTCAGCCAGCCGGATGGTCCTTTCCCCAGGGCGTCTGGGGGCTTCCTTGAAGACAGCGATCACCCCTTGGACAAAGATGCATGGCGGGGGCAGTACCCTCACCTCCACCCCGGACTCACACGTGAGCTCTGGCGCCATCACCAGTGCATATCCAAACTTCTGGGCCAGGTCAATGGGGCCTGTGGACGTAATGACCGAGTCCCGGCCGAGCAGCTTCAGCACCACAGTGACATAGGCTTCCGGCCCCACAGGTGCACAGCCAAACTCAACCCACTGGCCTTGAGCGAGTTCTGCCCTCTTGCTAGCCCTTATCTCCAGCGGCTGGCCCTGACTCATTCTTGCCTCCGGAAGGCTGTTGGTGAAGGTGACATCCACCAAGATGTCGGGCTTGTCCACGGGGAACAGGCACAGCGGCTGACTGGTAAAAAGGCCCACCTGGAAGGTGCCTTCGGCCGCCTTGGATGTCCTGTTCAGGTCAACATGAAAGACAGGCCATTCCACCTTCAGAAAGGCGCTCCTCTCCCACCAGGGGACCGGAGGGCTGCTGTCTGTGGCTTCCAGAGTCATCGTGAACCGGTAGTCGCCGGCCTCCTTGAAGTAGAAGCACTCAAACTCAAGGGTCCCCTGGGACTGGTTGGTCAGGAGGTATTTGGTGGTAACAGTCTGATTGGTGTTGGCCTCCAACAGCAGGACAGAGACATTCCTCAGCGTCCCATTGGCACCATCCAAATACTGGAAATCCACAGACACTGTCCTGTTGCTTAGTGCTACATGGCCCGGTTCCCCCAGAAGGAGATATTCAGCTTCTCCAAGAACTGAAAGGAAATGGTCAGAGTGGGTTTTTAAAAGGAATATCTGAGCAGCACTATTGGTGACATCGATGGAAACAGCATTTCAGACACAAGAGAAGTTTGAACTGAGCCGAGGATAATGCAAAATGCTGCTGAGTGCTGACTCTGGGAGCTGCGCCCTGAGCTGCTTCCATTCTAAAGTGGCTCTGTTCCTTCATCTCCATTTTTTATGGTTTTGTTGAAAATAATGAATTAGTGATAAATACTCTGAATTCACAACAGTCAACAAGGTAATACATCAGTGATGAAAACCTAATAAGCAAGAGTAACAACTGGCAAGTCTCATGATAAAAATCCAACACTTGACTTTTCTCATTTTAGGCATATTGAAGTGTTTAGGTATTTGGGGAAAATGGATTTACAGTGAAATAAGAGAAAGCCTGATTTAAATGATACAATATGCACTGCGCTAGATTACTTAAAATGGGAGACCCTAAATATACAGCTGACCCTTGAACAACATGGGCTTGAACTGCACAGGCTCACTTACACACACACACAAATTTTTTTCAGTAGTCAGTACTACAGTACTAGACGATCTGTGGTTGGTTGAATCCGCAGATACACATAGCAGATATAGAGGAACAGCAGATACACAGGGCCGACTATAAATTATACCTGTGCAGAAGATCAGAGCCTTTAACCCCGTGTTGTCCAACGATCAAATGAACTTCTAAGTTACTGTTTTCTGACATTCAAGACAAGTGCTTGAGCATTTTCACCAGTAAAGGAAACAGTGCCTTTCCTTTGTATGAGGTAGAAATTTTTAGATGAATAAGAAATGTTGACATTCTATCCTGCATGGGTTATTCAAGGGATAGAGTGAACATTTATGGAATAGCCAAGCTTGTCCTTAGCAATTTTACTGACATTACAGTAACTGCTATTGGCCTAGATAGGACAGATGACTACTGGCCCACAAGTGTCACTATGTTAGGATCAATTCTATCTTTTTTTAAAAAGAGACCCATCAGAGCAGCTGAAGTAAAGAGTGGGAAGAGCACAGACACACAAGAATCCCTGTTTCTATTTTGAACCCTATCCAAATACATATCAAAGGAGACAGAGTTTGGCAATGCATCAATCAGCTGGCCTGTGACTAGGGTAAGAAACATTCTAGATTTAAGGAACTGCAGTGCCCTTTGGTTTGAAAAACAACATATGTAAGAATGAATTTATGAGTCTTCTTATATATACATGATAATATAACATAATATTATATTAATATAATAATAATGTGTACATATCATATATGTCCAAAGGACAATATGCTGTTTGGGCTGGTAGTCTTTAAATATACTCAATCAGTGATTATTCGACGATTCACTTTGATGGACAGCAGAAAGCAATACAACGCTGTTAATCAACTATACTCCAATAAAAATTTTTAAAAACAGACGATTCAAAGATATAAAAAAATGATTATTAGAATCAGCACATGAAAATATTGGCACATAAAGGTTTGTTTTAATTAGCTCAGCACTTCACCCACTTCTTATTTAAGATGAGGTGAAATAAAATATATAAAACTTGGATAGGCCTGAATGCTTTATCAGCACTTGCTTGAAAACCTTAATAGGATAAAGTTGTTTGTTTTTTTTTTTTTCATTTTAGTCAGTACAGAAATTGAGGGACACTCCCTTTTGGATGGAGGTAACTCATCCAAAGGCGGCTGCTTTCGGTGCAGCTTGTGTGCTAGTTCAGAGTGGACCTGACGCTTTTTTGTGAACAGGTGGCTGAAGAGCTTCCAGTACTCACAGCAGCCCAGGAAGGACTGCTGAGAACAAAGGACCCAGAACAAAGCTCATATTCATTTGAATCTGATGGGGCAGAATGGTTCTGTGATGCATTTTAAGAGTGAGAGGCACACCGCACTTAGTTAACTAATGAATTGTCAGTGACAGGGACACCGATGAGGCAGATCAGATTCTGATTTGATGGGCAGCCTGTCGATGAAAGAGGCACACATGGCCCTTTGGAAATGGAGGAAACAGACGCAACGGACGGGTTCCAACAGCAGCCGAAAGGAGGTGTGTACTGAAGAGGGAACTTGCTGCTTTACTCTCAAACTCTTGCTTTTACAGGCAAGAATACACTCTCATTTAGAAAACTACAATTTGGTTGTACCACATCCTGACTACTACAGTACAGTTTTCTCCATTCTTTCATTTCCTCTCTCCCCATTCCTTTATTGTATTTAAAGGAACTGGTGTCTCAATATAAGCATGTTGCTTTAAAAAAGAAAAAACACTAACTGGTAATGGTATATTTTGATCAAAGTCAAATGGAGAAGAAAAAAAAAAATCCAAGTCTATGAAAATACCTCCTTTTCCAGTAGTAGCCTTTGTACTCAACTTGTATGCTCTATTTTATGCTCAATCAACTTTTATTTTTATATTGCAGTAAGATAACCTGCTCTCAACAATAACAAACGTCCTTGCAGACTGTTTAAATGGAAATTTTTGATGTCTTTATCATTATGAAACAAAGCAAGCTTTTATAATTTTTTGAATGAGGCTGTTACATATAGAGCAATCTATTTTTAAGTAGGGATAAAGGACTTTAAAAGAAATGATCCCAGATTGGTTTTCTGCAAGTCAAGTGTCTTCTTGTTTAAATAAACTTCTTAAAAAATAAAAGACTGAGTGAGGAGACTCACTGGACAAAAGTAACAGTACACACTCTGGTCCATCCAACCGATATTACACGAGCCAGGATTCTCTGTTTCTTGAATGATAATTTCTTCATCAATTTGAAAACAGTTTCCACTCTCATACCACCAACTGCTTAGATGTCTGAAATACTTGGAAATCATCAAGAGAAAACTGGTGGGTATTATATGGTTGAATCTACTGGTTCAGTAGTTGCATAAAACTCTCTGAGAAATGAATTTTTAGTTGAATCAAGATGAATGAAGAAAACTAACATTAAGCACCTACTATGTGCTCATACATTCAGGTATTTCACATTCTTGAGTTTATCTTATCATCATAACAACCATGTCAATATTGTTGCTGGTACAGAAAGAGATTTAGAAACTAGACAAAGGCACACAACTGGCAAGGATTGAAATTCAGATTTGTTCCAAAGGTATTCCAGCAGCAAACTCTCTTGTCAAGTGAAATCTCATGTAGAACCGCAATATATAAAACATCACTTCCTGTGTGTGTGAGTGAAGTTTAAACATATAATACTGAAATACTAGGAAATCAATCAAAGAGAACTGAGGGCAACATGCTTGTCTCCAATTTGTGAAATGAGTGTATTTAAAGTGAAATTTGAATCAATAACGCAGAACCTTAAGAGAACCCAGGGTTGCAAGAATCACAGTTTAAAAGGCACTGCAGTGTAGTCCCTGCCCCACCTCCTTCATGTAGGGGCATCGACATCCATGCATTTATAAACCCTCCATTTATGTTTCTTCATTGGTACCCACAGCATAAGTACACACAACACTCACCATAGTCACAGAGCACCACCAACAGTAGATTTGAAAAGTCTTTCAACATTTGTTTCATTCTGATCAGCAAAATCCCAGGTCTTTGGTCTCCTCATGTCCTTCCTCACATCCAAATGGTGAATTTTTCTTCAAAAACACCTGAAATTAGAACTTCAAAAAAAACGTTGGCTCTGTTCAGTGTGATTCATAAAATAGTAATCCTGAGATGACAAAACCATTCTAAGAAGTCAAGCTGCCTAGTTAATACTGAAAAGAAAACAGCAAGGACATTACTGTTCCCCCAGGGAAATGATCTGTAATTTACATGTCCTTTCCTTCCATTATAGCTCACCTGCTAAGAACTTTCAGGTCTGCCCAACACCAAGACTATCTCTGCAAAACACCACGTCTCTTACCTTTCTAGCACATCCTTAAATGGAGAGTTGGTTGTTCTCTGCTTAATTTCATCAAAGCTCCTTGCCAACCTGGATAATATTATATCTTCACATATTTATGTGCTTGGCAGAGTTAATATGCCAGTTAATCGACTGACTAAAAAAATTTTGCCAAACTTTCGTTTTGCATCGTGCTGTGTAGATCTGCCTTGCTTCCACAAATGGGTTTATGAACACTGTCCTTCTTGCACAATTGGTGTGTTATCTGGATTGCTTCATTTCTGAATGCCTAGGAGCTATATCAAAACTATCAAACCTTTAAAAAAAATATACACCCAGATTATTGCAATTAAATAAGAACTCCAGGTGGTCCAGACTTCCCTTGGTTAAGGCACTCTAAAGAGAAAACAAGTAACAGCTATCATCTTTGTCAGCCTTCCAATACTTGTTGCTGCTGGCTGGCATGCATCAGGAGATGAGTGATTTCATGCAGCAATCTTCCCAGACCACCTAGGAGGGCAGGGAAGGCCTTGATGGACTGTGGTTCAGAATGATTTGTGGGAAGAGGCACTTATTTTGATATAAACAGACTATTAGACAACAGAATAAGATGCGGGGCATTTAAGAGCCAGTATTTTTCATACTTGAGTCTAGGAAACTATGAGGTACTAAACATAAACAAATATATATTTTCTTAATGTTTACACTCCCCTCCATTATGCAGTTAATCTATTTTTAATAAGTATATTATATTCCAAATATACGTATGTCACATCCCTTCGGATAAGACAGAAATTAAGGGAATTAAGAGGACTGACTGAAATAATCAAAAATTCAATGGAAAGGAAATTGGTGTGTCTCTATTGGCTTTCTTTCTGTAGGAGTTGGTTGAGCAAAGGAAATGCTGTACTTCCTCAGAGAAGCAGAGATGGGAAGTGTAATCATGCAGATAATTAAGGCTCCCACCCTCCCCAACAAAAAAAAAGAAAATTCAGTTTTGTTGGAATTAGGCATGGATTTGACCCAATCGTTTCCTTGAATATGAATTGGGAAACTTCACCAAAGACAGCAGGTGAGCATCATCGTATCTCCAGGGCAAGTGTGGGCACTTAAGGCAATTAAAATGCTTCCTTTTAGTCACTGCTCCTCAGTAATCAAAGTAAGGAGAAACAAGCTATCCCTGGCCCCCAAAAGTTGTACTGGCTTCTCCCAAATTGCTTGCTTCCCCATGACAACCATTTTTTGAAGACGTTCTTAATCACAACTGATTTTGTGTTTATAACACATTTTCTTTCTTATGAAAAAGACTAGTAAAACAGAATAGTGTCATAATCTATATTTAGAGCTGGATGGAAATGGAATTACAAGATAATCCAGGCTACCTGAAAACAGGCTGCTTTATTTTATAAGCCATAATATGGTTTACATAATATGGATTTTTTTTTAATGCTCTCAAGCTTTTGAAAATTAATGCTGACTTTTTTTTTCACTAGCTCAACCACTAATTTGAAGATGTTAACAGAGCATCCCAGAATGGAATGGAATGCCGGGTAAAAAATCACTACGTTTTTGTTGTTGTTTTAAAGAAAACAGCATGCTTCTTTAATTTTTTTTAAACCTTGCTTGCTTATTTTCTTCCAACACGTGTTCCCAATACCACAACTGGCTACTTACAATGTTTAGCTTGAGAATCATTTTGAGAAAATAGGAACTTTAGGTGTACTTTATACACATTTTTTAAAACTTCCATATAGCATTCACATCCATAAACGTTTATAGACAAATTCTAAATGTATCAGCTAGAGGGTAGGAGGAAGTTGTGAATATTCTCAGTGGCTCAGGGCACCACGCTAAGCTCAGATCCCATGTTTTTGCTGAAATCTGCTAAGATACACGCTTCTGTATCCCCTATAGTGTCTTCAGAGCTGCAGAAAAAGAAACTGAATTATACTAAACACCATGGGACCAATGATTTATGAAAGAATAAAAGGAAAAACAAAAAGAAGCAAAGTGATCTTGTCCGTTCTGACAAACATGCACACGCTCGAGTGTATATCTAATAGTAATATTTATTAGGAGGAAATCACTAATTCCAAAGCGGCTCGGGTAAACGGGCTGTATTTATATATTCGGGCCAATCGGCGAATATATGCCTGGTCCCACGGGTTGGATGCTGCTTCCCCACATCTACTCAGCTGTGCGCTCCCCACATCTACTCAGCTTTCTCCAGGCCTGCGAGTCAAGTTTACGCTTGGAAATATAAGGCTGCCGGTGTCCCCCAGCACAACATCTCTTAAAATGAGGACCGTTTTGCAAGGCACATATCTCATACTGCTTGCATCCCAGTAAGGATTTCTTTATGGAAAGAAGCAAACCTGTTCTGAAACGCAGAGTATCCCAGAAGCTGTTCTTCAAGGGTCCCAACTATTCGGACTCAACACCCATCAATCTACGGTCAGCCTCAGACACTCGGCCACACCTGCGCCAGGAGAGCGCCGAGTTCAGGTTGAAGTCGGGACTCAGACATGCGGAGACGACACTTTTTAACGCGTGTCCCTGGGGAGTGAGCACCACGGAGCGAGGGAAGGGGACCGGGTGCGTGGAGAGAACGGTCCCGTCCACCAGTGCTTTCCGGCGGCGGGGAGGGTGGGGCGGAAGGGTCCCGGGAGCCGCCGGGGACCCCGCGGTGGGAGCTCCCGCCGGGTAGCTTCCGGAACGCTCTTCTTACCTCTGGGACCGGCGGGCGAGGTGGCGAGGTAGGCGAGTGGCCTGGGCCGCGATGAGGCAGCGTACCGAGCATCCCGCGTCCCGGGACTGCGCCCCCCGCCCCCCGCGCGCCGCTCCCGCAGCCCCGCCCGGGTCCGCCCCCGACGGCGCGAGGAGGGCGGCGCCCGGCGGGCGGTGGGGGGGCCTCCGGGAGCCTGCGAGGGCCGCCCCGCCCGCTCTGGGCAGCGCATCCTTCCCTGCCCGCGCCCGGCTGGCCCGCTACTGGACGGGAAACCCGGCAGGAAACGCGCGGCCGGGGAGGGCCCGCGGGGAGGGGACGCGGATGCCAGCCACGCACACCCACCGCCCACAGGCGGGAGCCGGGTTTAAGGGCGAGCCGGCAGTCTCCCGGCATTTCCGATCCATCACTTCTCCCCCCTGCGCCCCCGTGTCATTGTCTTCTGGGGGACCACAAGTCAGGCATGGAAGTGGTATAACAGGTGGGCTGTAAACTTTGTTTCCCGAATGTCACTGAAGAGGTCCAAAAGAGAACAGTTCCGGTAAAGTGCATCTTCGTTTTTCTTTCTCAGGAGCCAGAAGTGGTTATTTAATTTAACATAGTTTTAAAACTCTAATCCAGAAGCGTTAAAGTTGTGTTTTTAAAAGAATACGAGAGGATAGAGTTCCACCTTAGCAGCCGTGCTTGTTTTTGAATAGGCTGCAAAGTGCAATACAGTTTACCATTAACATACCAATGTGTGGGAACAGAAATCGTAGCACAGATTTGGGGGCCCCTGAGGAGCAGGTGATTGGAAAGAGGCCCCAGGAAACTTTGGGAGACGATAGATGCATTCTATTGGTTGGGGTGTGAATCACATGGATTTATTAGGCATTTGTCAAAACATCCAACTTAAGATCTGTGTATTTCACTGCTTGTAAATTTCACCTCAGTTTTTAACTCTTAGAAATATATCGTTTGCAGGTCCTTGAATCTATTACTTAATCTTTTAAAAGTAGCACAAGTATTCAATTATCAGAGCGATCAGAGTTTACCAGAGGTACCAAATTTGCCAAGTACCCATCTTGTCAAATAATGCTAGCAGTACTAATTAAATCCAGCCAAAGTTTCAAAACAGGCTTTAAGGTGTGGACTGAAAAGAGTACACAACGTTAGAGTTGTGAGTTAAGTTTTATTTGGAGCAAAATGAGGACTAAAGCCCAGGATACACCTCTCAGATAGCCCTGAAGAACTGCTCCTAAGAGGTAGGGTGTGGGAGGTCAGTGTATGTGTGATTTGTGTGAAAGGGGGATGCTGCAACCGAGCACACATTTTGGCAGGGGCTTGCTGCTAGTCACAAGAAGGATGCTGCTCGTCACCAGCCACAGATGTCTCTGTTAATGATTTTAGTGCTTTTCTGGATATAAGATGCAAGAAACTGGGCTCATAAAATCTTCTCCTGCAAATATCTAACTATCTGATACCTGTTCTGCCAGTTTTTTCCAGGGCACAGAGTGCCTCATTCCTGATCTCCACCCTGAACTCCTTTCAGGGTATGTTGAAGGTCAGTGACTGCTGGGGCTAGTAACCTAATCGTTGTAGAGACAGGTGGCAAGTGACAATTTTTAGTTGGCAAAGGTCATCGTCCAATTTCACCGTCAGAATTATCTAGTCCAACATCGATTACTCAAGTTAGAACTCTTTTTAAATACATGCCACAGGCCCTGCCATTTTTGGTTTTGAAAGCAAAAGCTCATTTTAAGAGTGGGAGTTAGACACAGCTGAGATTAAGCCCAGCCCTGCCTCTGTAACCTTGGGCAAATACTTAATCCCTCCTTTCCTCCACTGTAAAAGGCATCTAATAATAGTTATATTGAAGTTTTGCGGTGACTGAGTGAAACATATAGAAAGCAACTTGCTCAGTGTTGATCTTTCAGGCACACACTCTTCCTAGAAACCCAAGTGCAAGTGCCTAAATCCAGGTGCAAATGCCCAGATCAATGTGCTTGGTCATTTTTTAAATAAGAGCTTTATTGAGATGCTTGGTCATTTTTGCTTTAATTAGAATACTTGCCAAACTGTATTACTGTTTACTGGACAGTTAAGATAGTTTAATCCTTTCTAAAAGAAGGCAAAACCCTCTTGCACTGTTGGTGGGAATGTAAATTGATACAGCCACTATGGAGAACAGTATGGAGGTCCCTTAAAAAACTAAAAATAGAACTACCATATGATCCAGCAATCCCACTACTGGGCATACACCCTGAGAAAACCATAATTCAAAAAGAGTCATGTACCACAATAATCATTGCAGCTCTATTTACAATAGCCAGGACATGGAAGCAACCTAAGTGTCCACTGACAGATGAATGGATAAAGAAGATGTGGCACATATATACAATGGAATATTACTCAGCCATAAAAAGGAACAAAATTGAGTTACTTGTAGTGAGGTGGATGGACCTAGAGTCTGTCATACAGAGTGAAGTAAGTCAGAAAGAGAAAAACAAATACCGTATGCTAACACATATATATGGAATCTAAAAAAAAATAAAAGTGGGGCTTCCCTGGTGGCGCAGTGGTTGAGAGTCTGCCTGCTAATGCAGGGGACATGGGTTCGAGCCCTGGTCTGGGAAGATCCCACATACCACGGAGCAACTAGGCCCGTGAGCCACAACTACTGAGCCTGCGCGTCTGGAGCCTGTGCTCTGCAACAAGAGAGGCCGCGATAGTGAAAGGCCCGCGCACCGCGATGAAGAGTGCCCCCCGCTTGCCACAACTAGAGAAAGCCCTCACACAGAAATGAAGACCCAACACAGTAAAAATAAATAAATTAATAAACTCCTACCCCCAACATCTTCTTTAAAATAAATAAATAAATAAATAATAAATAAAAGTGGTTCTGAAGAACCTAGGGACAGGACAGGAATAAAGACGCAGACGTAGAGAATGGACTTGAGGACACGGGGAGGGGGAAGGGTAAGCTGAGATGAAGTGAAAGAGTGGCACTGACATATATACACGCGACCAAATGTAAAATAGATGGCTAGTGGGAAGCAGCTGCATAGCACAGAGAGATCAGCTCTGTGCTTTGTGTCCACCTAGAGGGGTGGGAGGGAGACGCAAGAGGGAGGGGGATATGGGGATATATGTATATGTATAGCTGATTCACTTTGTTATACAGCAGTAACTAACACAACAATGTAACGCAATTATACTCCAATAAAGATGTTTAAAAAATATTTTTAAATAAAATAAAAGAAGGCAACATAGATGTGAAGAAAAAAGCTTTCAAAAGAACAGTGGGGGCTTCCCTGGTGGCGCAGTGGTTGAGAGTCCGCCTGCCGATGCAGGGGACGCGGGTTCGTGCCCCGGTCCGGGAAGATCCCACGTGCCGCGAAGCGGCTGGGCCCGTGAGCCATGGCCGCTGAGCCTGCGCGTCCGGAGCCTGTGCTCCGCAACGGGAGAGGCCACAACAGTGAGAGGCCCGCGTACCGCAAAAAAAAAAAAAGATCAGTGGTACTGTCTTGGCTGTATTGAACTAAAACAAGCTGGCTGACAAGATATCTTGAGTTCTTTTTCTGAGTGAGCGACTGGTCTAAGGATCTTTTGCAAATTGTGTAAAATGTATTCACTATATCAATACACCCTTTAAATAAATGGGGAAATGTTTTTCCCCCTAGATAATACTCTGAGAGACAAGCTTTAACTGACTCGTGGTTATCGGAACACAGGGAGGAACACGAATGACTCAATTTTCACACTGTGATAACAAGATCTTACATGTGTGTTAACCTGACTTTTCTGGAGTGCTTCCCACATCATGGATATGGCCCATGCATGGAATCTGAATTAAGACAGTGTATCTCAGACAGGCTGAGCCCGGACAAGTCTGGATAAGAAGCCTTTAGGGAAGAGGGTAAAGGAAACAGACTTAGGTTTCAGACTCAACTCATGACACATTATAATTCAAAAACCACTCGATTTAGTTAATGCTTAACTAGGAATCTACCATGTACAATCACTGACCTAGGCCAGTGGGAACTCCAAAGAAGTGTTATATGATATTCCTTGAACTTAAAGAAACCCAATTTCTCTTGTTTTCTTACGGCATTAAGATAACAATTAGAGAACATGGCAAAAGACAGTCAAGTATATGGGAGAGACAATAACTCTTAATGGAGTTGAGGAATAGCAGAGTTGTGTACTGGAAACAGATTTTTCCAGAACAGGTGGGATTGAGCAAAGCTTGGTTTTGATTATTGGGGGTGGGGGTGGGTGGATGGGAGGAAATAACAAAGGGAAGTCTGGACAAGGACAATGTGCCCCAGGTGCAGGAAGGGACAGACCTCCTGTTGCTCTCTGACCCAATGCCTGCCCCTGACCATCTCTGGGTTCTTGTGAAACTAGTGCACCAGCTTCTCCTCTCCCATGAGGCCTTCCCAGACCCTCCTCCGTCAGAACTGAAGACCTCTTCCTCTGTCCTCCAAGCACGGTACCTGTGCCCCTTCCACGGCACACACTTCGTCTCATCATCAACTAAGGTCGCTATGTGTCTATTTCCCAACGAGGCCATCCTCTTAAAGGCAGGGGCCGCATCTTATTCACTTCTGTATCCCCCAGTGGCCCTGTTCCTCACACAAAGTCGACAGGTATTCAAAAACGTTTCTTTGTATTGAATTGAATGGGAGATAAAGTAGGGTAAAGTGAAGCCAAATGATAAATAGGCATACACATTGGAGGTCATTCATTCGGTAGACATTTATTGAATGCTTACTGTGTGCCAGGCCTCGCTCTAGGCTCTGAGGACACATCCATGAACAAAACAGATAAAAATCTCTGCCCCTGTGGAGCTTACACTTATGATCTATCATAAGGGATGGGATTAGCAATACATTTACATAAATTCAACCATACCTATCAGCAAAGTGAAAAAAAGAAACATTTAAATAGTTTTAATTATTGGTACTACAAAAGTCTACTGTTGATATGTAGTTTTTTATTATATATTTTACTTACTATATTCATAAAATATTCATACCCATGTATCACCCTACAGGCATTCGAATTGTAAGATTATATAGAGGTTTTCAAGGATCATTTTGAGCATGCTCGATTCCATCCATAGCA